AACAAAAACAACAACAAAAAACAAAACAATAACAACAGCAATATTATATGATCGATATTTGAGAACATATACTGAAATAGACTATTTTCCTGAGATGAAAGTCTTTTAATTTGTAATATGAAAGAAAATAGATCATACATATTTACAACCGAATTTTATTAAAGCGGAATCAAAAAGATAAAGCTTTAATAAAGTGTGCAATCTTTATCAAAATACGAGCCAATAACGCATAAAACATAAAGTTTTAATGGTACTATGTTAAAGACGATTATATATCAATTTGAAATACGTTTATTCTTTTTAATTTTGCAGCAATATAGCAAACAACAAGGAAGATGAACAAAAAGTGTCTTTCAAACAAGAGATACTCTGTCTTAATAAATATACGTACTTGTAACTGTGTAGTAAAATCTATTTCCTCGAATATTCGTTTCGTTCAATATATCTACAATATTTTATTTTAGAACCAATAAGAGTTTAATTGTTTTCAATTATTTTTTTTAATCAAGAACTAACTTCAAAGCAAAAACCTGACTCTTTTTATGTTTTGGGCTATTATACGTTTTTTTTTCTGGAGGACAAATATAATATTCGTATAAGCATAGGGAGCAATGCTGTAAAATACGTGTATAGTAAGAATTTCGCGCATTATCTTCTATTTTTATCCGATAACGTTTGCCATTGTTTAACTCGTTTTGCTTCTATGACAGCCAGGCTTTGCAACAAATACACTTGAAGTGCAAAAGGCACCATTTAGACCATAATTGATTGGACGTAGACTGAAATCCATAAGTTTGCATGGCAGACGACAATAAATAAAAAATAAAACGATTTGTTCAATCATCTTGACAATTTTATAGCTAAAGAGATTTATAAACCCGCCATTTTGAAGACGTTACGTCATGACTGGTGGAAATGCTACACATTTAGAGCTTTTGTGTAGTACTTTTAGATTAGACAATAAAATATAGAACATATCAGCTTTATGATTAGCCAATAAAAGATATGACATATTAGCTTTAAGACTAGACAATAAAATAGATGACATATTAAATTAAACGTGTAGCGATTAATGGGTGATTGTAATATCTGTTTTTTGTTATGTTATCACAATAATTTTCATTGTCACGGTATATTGGCCAAGGCCGTGCCTTATTTTCGTGACGTCATACATAAAAAAACGAACAATCCACTTATTGAATTAAAAAAATCTTTTGAAAATTGTTGCAACGAATAACCATTGAAACAAAATCCTACATGCGCGTTATAGATACGTTTTTATAACTTTCTGTTTTGATACCATCTATGTTTAAAAAATAATAAAAAAAAACAACAATTTTCCATCACATTATTTATTCAATGTGTGATTTCACATTTAAAGATTCCATAAATAATTTAAACCAAATGCTAACGAAAAATGGTGACGCGACAGCATATTTTTCAGTCGGAAACAGATAAATTCAACCTCAACCTTTGTGCATCTACTGATAAGAGACTGCGACATAAAAATAATCTTTCCTACAGTGAAATATATATAAAATATTTACAGACACATGCGAATGTCTGGGAGAGAGAGACGTATTTAGAATGTCATGGAATAAAACTTTATCTGTTTTACGAACAAGACATGCAATGTTTCACAACTAGTCGTTAAATAAACAGTGTTAAATTGCAGTTTATGTATCTATGTTACCCTCTAATTGATCAAAAAGTACAAATGGATTACAAATTCAAGACCAGCCACATTCGAACTAGTTACAAAATATTACCATTTTATAGCTTTTTATGCTATATATCTTATATTTTCGTTGGAAAGCTTTCTTACAAAGTCTCTTGAAACTATCATTATAAATAAATTATTCATTTCAGATTTATGTGAAGCCTAAATTAACTCCCAAATACTCGCTATGTACGAGTTTTGAATAACGTTACAAAAAACGCACCAGTCATTTAAAACATGTTTTATTATATATTGCGAAATGTATTGGTAAATTTAATATTTGATTCTCTTACATATCAGTATTGATGCCTTTTTATGGCTAGACCTAGCTAGAACCACGCTAATCATATTAATAGGAGGTTTTTGTAAAAAACACTACGTAAGTAGATCTATATACACATTTTAACCAATCTCTCAGAATGACAAATATAGAATAGCATTCAAACATATAGCGATGAAGTATTCATTACATCTGGAAAACAAAACTATGATATTTGTAGGTTAATAAATAAATGTCGTATTGATAAACAATATATTGGAGTTTCATTCTCAGACTGATAAAAAATAAAGTAATTGAAAAAGATAATTATATATAAAATCAGTTCTAAGTCCGGTGTGATATTTGCATTGCTAGACATTTTATTGAAATTGCAAAACACATTAAAGACTTTCATTTTAGCACGTAAGTGTAACGTATGCATATATATGGCACATCTTATAAATGTTCGCAGACACTTTGGCTCATTCATCCTATAAAACTAGGGGATTGGGAGGCACTATCAAGCACTTTTTACTATCCATTTTCAAACTGTTCTTTTGAATTGTTATAATATGTATATTGCTTGCAACAAAATTAATACATGTACAAGAGTTACATTTCAGAAAACAAAGTGTATTTGATGATATCGTTGGAGAAATATGTGATAATTTATTTACATTATCATGAGGTTTGTTCGTGTAGTTATCGTCTTGTAAATAAAATTATACTTTTACATTCATTTTCTCATTTATTTCATCTATTTTTGTTATATCTTATTATATCATGATTATTTAATTTTATAATCCATTCATTCAATATGTTACATATTCTATATTTCATCTATTTAATCGTTAAATATTATTTAAATCATATGCGACAAAGAAAAAAGAGCAATTTTGTCAATAGCTGATTGATTTGTGACAAAACAATACATACACATTCGAATAATTGCTACAAAATATAGGAAAATGGAATCCTAAAGAACACCCAAAACGACGAAATGAAAAAGGTTCCAGCCTCGGTTTGATTGAGCCTGTTCATAAACGGAACTGGAAAAACAAAGTTACCGTTATCATCCCCTAGAACCGGCCAAAACAGAATCCAATATTTCAACACGAAAATGGTAAAATTGGATATTTAGCAACATCCGCAGATGTGTACAAAGACAAGATTTGTCGGTGATATTTTCTAACCGTTTAAAGAGGGTGTCTTTTTTAAACAATTATTATGTTAATGCCAATTTTTCATTTACGAACAGATACAGAGGTTTTACCGACAAGCTTTTTTATTTAGAGAATTGCAAGCTAGTTCGACAACTTGCAATGCATCATATTTTCCCATTAAATTTTAGCTATCAAAGACAAATTTATCACGTTTTTCCATCCAATTTGTATGTCAATGGGTAGATTCACAGAGCGTTTGTTTTGAAACATCTGCTACGGAAACACAGTTTGATTTAAGCGTTACAGCATATTAAGATAGATAGTGCGTTAGAAATAAATCTAAATTACATAATCCGAGAAAACAGAACATAAATAACTTGATGTAATAAAAATAGTGAAGTTAAAAATAATACCGATTTGCTTTGATTTCGAGTGGTAGTACATTCTTTTATGCTTTTCTTGAAACTATTTTTCAGTGTAGTAAAATGCTGTTTTTGTTTCTTTGATTATTGATCACAGCTATAGTGGAGTGCCAAATGGTAAGAGATACCTTTATTCAATAACTTTTTGTCATTGGGCGAAGAAAGATACAGTGCTGTACTGCAACTTGCAATAGAAAAATAATAACATTTAACAACGCATAAAACAACAAAATTAAAAATGTAGAGTCGTTGAGTTAGCGTGTTTATGTACAGAAGTGATATTGAGTGCAAACTGTCGTTCCTCCACCCCGTAATACCGGAATTAATAATGTAAACATAAAATGGTTAACTTCTATATTTCTTGAGTAACAGCTTAAATTGTCTTACAAAGTGAGAATCATTTATGCTTAACGAAACAGACAATGCAATATTTCAAATTTTGTTGTTTTTGGCTTTATTTAAAGAATGTTTTTGGTATAACAACTTAACACATTATAATATTTATGTCTTGTTGCGGCACCATGGTTTAATGTAATTTGTGAGCGATTTTTATAAAGGTGGCACCAGTCTATGATAGCAAGCAATAATGTAAATAACTGAGAGCGCAAACTCTGTTAACTTAATATGTATAGGTTTCCGCCAAGGCGAAACTGATCCTTTTGCGTACTATATATAATATACCAATCTTTGTGATTTATTAACAATAGACAATTTGTATCCTTTATCAAACGATACGATAACTTTAGAACGGCGTCGTTCAGGATAATTGTTAAAGAAATTGTACTGACAATTTATTGCTTTCCATTTTCGTTGTGCATGATAGACAAATATAAATCTTCAAATGCGTTAAATATGTTCAGTTTTCTAAAACTGTTCTTTTAACCATAATTTTGATTCGGGTAACCGATGCTTTTGATCTTTTTTATCAAAGCTCCTACCAGTACAGATGGCGACGTTGTTCCGTTTAGGTCCCTCATAAATCAGTTACGTTGTATGCATTCTGCAAAGTGTAAAGGATCAGTTGGGTTTCTTCTTGCTGTTCATTACTTACATAACTTTTATTGTTTGTATCGTACATGTATATAATTTTATAATAATGATAGTTCAATTATAACATGTATACGAATTTTAACTATATTATAAGAAATGGTGCCCTCACAGTATAGACATAACTTTAGACAGTTAAAGCTCCTCTTTAAAAGTTGTACATATTTTGGAACATAACAGATCAGGATGTGTTTCATATGATCATCACATCTACAACAACAGCAGCAGCAGTAACAACAACAGCAACAACAACAACTTTTATTTGCAATCAGGTCACATAAAAGCAGTACATGTATGATCGAAAGGTTTCTTGTAATTGTGGGCGTTTCAGTTATATTTTCAAACTGTATCTAATTAAACAGAATCACTATAATAGATTTTAGAAACTGCAGTGTAGTCGTAAAGTAGTAACTCCGGATCAATCGGAAGTACGTTTAGACAGTAGAGTAGCTCCGGAACATCGTGAGCTAAACATAATATGTGAATCGCGCTTCCTTATAAGAAAGGCTATATGGCGATCACATTACTCCGGAAAATCGGGAGAAGAACTGGCTCCGGACTATCGGCAGCTTGTAATATTACTCCGGAAAATCGGATGCAGAACACCGGAATATCGGAAGTAATTAAAATTACACTGCATAAATGTATTTAAAATTCATCAATGATGATAAAGCTTAATATTTACCCTGCAATTGTATCTTACTATATATGAAATGTGTTATACATAAATATAATGTAATGTTATAAGTGACAGTACGAATCGACATTAAGCCAAAGGCGCAGCTCATTTGGCTGGAAAGTAGCCAACAAAGAGCAAGCCCCGCCATAAGAAACTAACCGTATGGGGGTGATGATTCGGAAACTGTCACTGTCAGCCGGATTTAAATATGCTACGGAAAACAGTTAATGCCTGTAAAGATGATATTGTAAATCCCATTCCTGAGTGTCAACCATAATGTCAAGACCCTTAGCAAATAAATGAACATTATCTCTAAAGAATTCCTGAGACTCTTGAATATCTGGATACCTAATATATCCACCACCGTTTGTAATACATAATTTAGCCAAAGAACTATTTAATCTTTTTTTAGCCTTATCCAACTTTTTGTGGTTATTTTCTCCTCTATAATATAATCTTGGAAGAACCCCGGACCAGACAAGACGTACTCCAGGAATACTAGATAATACAGTGGCAAAATTATTTGTAAGTAGCCATTTACAATAGTCTAAAGGGGTTTTCCCAATATTATTGCCTCCACAATGTATAATTATGGCAAACGGTAATTTATTACAATTCAACATTGTATTAAACTCATGAAGTAGGCCTTCAGTTAGCAAACCAGACTTAAATTTCCAGGTAATAGTTGTATTTTCTAGATCGAGGTCCTTCCCATACCTTTGTTTGGCATGATAGAAGGCATCCCTTATAATAGATGAACCAATAATCCACACATGTGTGTTATTTATTCCTAATAAAGAAACATTTGGGTTAAACTTTTAAGTATTTCGAAATAGTAATAATAAAGCATGCTTTTTCTTTATCATATTTACTGAGCCATTTACTTAGGGAGCTCGTGTCTATTGGTGTTTGACCTAATACCAAAAGGTTTTTGATTACGTTGGAATCTTGGCTGGATCTCCGGTCCGAATAATCTTGGTCTGAAAGAATTTGTCATACTGGTTGAACCCCGACCCAGGTCTGGTCGAATGGAGGGTGCACGACATACATACGAAGGATGATTGCCACTGCATTTTTTACACTTGTGCTGATAAAAACAACCTGGTTTGTTAAAAAAGCCTTTTGTATTGTAATCAAAACATATATTTTGGGTATACTGTGGTACAAAAGCATTATGATTTGCTGTCATTGTAATGAGCCAAAGCTCAGCATCAATTACTGACCAAGGCGTCCCGGGTGTTGCGCAATATTTCTTCTAAACATTTTATCATATTGTGCCCAACCAGATGGGTTCCTTTTAGCAGCTAAACGTATTGTATTTAAGTACTGCAATAAATGTTTAGCTAATAATGGACTTTTTGTAACCATAATATGTATATAAATCAAAAAGGCATCAGTCCACCTTTCGATATTTAAACCTGTATTTTTCTTAATGGCATTAGATATCACCAACTCGCCATTTACTAATTTAATGGATTGTTGTCCATCTTCTTCTTTTTGCAAGAGAATAGATAAATCAATGAATTCCCCCTGCCATATTTGTTCTTTAAGCTTTTTGGGAATGTGAAGTGACAAATCATTACAAACAGAATTGAAAGGTGAGTTAGTATTACTTATTGAATTATTATTAAAACTATTACCCGATATAGCAGTCTGGTCAGCTGATGCGGTCTGAGCCTGTGGTTGCCACAAGGTATGTTGTTGTATTGGATTACCACCTGGACAATATGTAGGTGCTATCTGAGCCTGGGGATAGGTGTAAATTCCATCTTGGCATACTGGACCATAATTAACATGTGTTGTCTGTGTCTGAGGTTGTGGATGATAATAACCTGTTGTGTCCAGGTACTGAGTTGTGCCAATATTTTGATCATAACCAAGGTTATATTGGTATCCATAGTCCCTTGTAGATGTGCCCAAATAAGGAGATGTGATACAGTGCACATTGGGTGTTATACCCTGGTTATCAACACCTGTGAATGAAGGACCACCCGAGAATGAACTACATGTTCCATGTTGTTGTTCTGTAGAACAAGATATGTTCTGACTGGTGACTGGATTTGTTTCCGATGGCAATGTCTGATTTTGTATAGTGCTATTTAGAGGACCCTCTGTGACCATAGAGCACTGTACACCGAAAGAATTCTGCTGTATACCTGCTGTATTACTATTAGATCTAATACGTTTTGCCCTTTTCTGGTTGACTTGAGTCGCCAATAGTGCTCTTTTCCGTGGCATTTTTCAGTCAAATGCAAACCATTCAGAATGATATATGAAAAATAAAAAGATAGACTGTAAATTTACACCAAAAAACAGCAAATTCATCATAGAACTATATCGTATTTGGTTTAGGCAAGTCTGAATCTATTTTGTATAAACTTCAGTACTGTATAAATGTTTTCAGCTATAAAAAATTTTATGCGCCTTTTCGTAATACTAATTGCCAATGCGATAACATACGGGCTGAAAATTACCAGGTCCGAAAACCCTACCAGCAAACCTGCTTCACGCCCATTCTCAATAAAACACAGCATTTGATGTTCCACTGGGTAGCTCTTATACGAAGGTTTTTCTTGAGGTCAACATGTCGTTAGAAAGGTGGCTGCCACTTTGTCTAATAGGGACACTCTCAGTTTTACATTTCTATCTGTTATTTTTCTTTTACAAGTACCATTAATGCCCTAAAATGTAACATACGTTACTGTCGCCACCTAGAATTTTCAACTTTGAAATTGTGTCTCAGAAATTTAAGTTCCAGAATAAACGAAACATGTGCAATTAGTCATTGATGTGTGTATATGAACTTTGATTATTGGTAAAAATTATATTTGACCGTTAAAATCTCATTGATATAATTGATGATCAAATGTCGCCAAATGCATATAAATAAATAGTGACAAACCTTAAACAATAATAAGTGGAACCGAAATTACATAATTGAATCGATGCATGCTTAATAATACAGCATATATATAATTATAAGTAAAATAAGCTTGCAGCCTCTCAAATATCATTATATTTTTGGAAATTTTCATTTTTTATTCAAATCTTTTTCAACAGCATTTTAAAAAGAAACATACGTTACCATTATTTAAGAGCCAAGCCATTTAAAGAAGAATCCAAACAAGAAAGAAAATTAACATGTGTGTAACTCTGATATATTAACCGCAAATTATGGCGGGTTAAACGGTCTTGCGTCATTTTTTAACCCACTTTCAATGTAAACATGAAACATACGTTAAACTTACAGAAACAAACGTTATCAACTTTTTAAAGTAAGTTTATAAAAAGGGAAATTGAAGCCAGAAAGCACGTATAACAGCAACATTAACTTCTATTTGACATTAGTAAGTAAATTTTGATAACTTTGGTGGAGTTTTAACTTGTTTAAGTAACCACAGTGAAACGAACGTTACTTTTATCAAACAGACTTTATATTGTTTACACATGCATATATAAGAACATAAAATCGCATTTTTATGACAATAGAATGATGTGCATTTGATTCCTAAATAAAACAGTTGATTTTACATGTAAGTTTCAATTCCGTGATTAAGTTCATAAATAAGCGAGTGTGAAACATACGTTACTCCAACTTACAATTCAACAATTTTTGAAAATTAAAGATAAAGTTGGGATAATCATGCCCGTTAGTAACGGTTATCTTGTATTAGATGTAAGAAGATACAAAATTGTTTTTACAAAGGAAAGATATGTTAATAATATGTTGATGTACCAGCAGAAAGGTTAAAAATATTTTACAAGATATTGATGTTCTCAGCAACAACTAATTCGTTTCTGCAAAGAGCTTACTGGCCGTATTTCATTCTATATATAATAATGTTAAAATAATATCCATAAATATACATTATTTTACAAAAAATAAAATTGTTTTCTCAACCTTAACTTGCATTTGAATAAAATGAAACATACGTGACATCCTATATAGGGATAAATATAGAACTGCTTAGCAATAAATTTTCCAAATATTAAGAAAGTTAAAAGTTGAATGTTTTGAAAAAAATTGCTAATACAACATTTGTGTATGCATTCGACCTCTCATATATTATATATGATATATATGATATCCTTTGAATGAAGACATAAAATAATCATTTCCAAAATTGACTATTTTTGCTTTCTACGAATATTTAACTTTGAAGAAATTAATTGAAATTAGCAAGGTACCCAACTTCCTTGACTTTTCCTGGGTTAGAAAGTCCCTCTAGATAGAGAATTTACAGATTTTGATATATTTTAAAGACATTTGTTGTTAATATGCAGCCAATATGTTACATTATTAGATCTGAAATCTACGTTACCGAAGAAATACAGTGTCATTACCGAAATAAATGCCATCCCGTTATATCATAGTTTCTTGTTCAAAATATTTCTGGCAAACTTGCAAAATACCCTAAACTTTTTTCTCAGCGATAAAAAAGTGACACAATGACAACATCAAATTTTTAATATTTTTCAACCTCAAATGCTTTATTTTATTGAGAATGGGCGTTCAGCATCACTTTAACTTTCTTTGACCTATAGACTACATTAGACAAGCTGGAATAATCTCAAATTGTTTGTCCAGCTAAATATTTCTTTATATACTTACATCCATTTATTAGGTTTTTATAAAAGCGTGTCTATTTTTTCAGTCAACATTCATTTAGATCTACCTCCATTGCTAAGCACGAGGCCAAATTTCTTTATTTCTAATGTAGATCTTACATTCCAGCTAAATCTGATGAACTATATTTTTTTCCTGACAAAGCACAAAACTTTTTATCTAAAGAAAGTAAATTTAGCTTCTTTTTTCGAGAAATTTAATACAAATAGAAATAAGATATTTTTCTCCAACCTTTCTCTTCTATGTCCAAACGAAAAAGAATCCCGTTCTCAGCTTTTGGCTACGCTATGACGAAATTCATAATGACGTCACAAGTACCATGCGGCCACCATGTGCGTAATTGAAATAAGGTCTGAAGATTTGTCGCCCTTGGTGATAACTACTATCATTTAAAGACACGCTTGAAATGACAGGAAATTTGTACAAGGTTCATATTCTGGTAGTTAACAGTTGTTAACATATTAAAACCGAATGTTGTTAGTTGACTTCGTTATCACTTGAAAGCGCACGTAACAAATTATTATAAACTGTTAATAAATAATTTTGAATTATATAAACTGAATACTTTGCGAGAACTCTGTGGAAAAGTATGTAAGTTAGAACTTCAAGCGTTAACTTGTGTGAACAAACAATCTTTTTAAACTTGTGAAATATCACAAAACTGGGATGGTACATTGCCTTCATAATTTCTGTATTTTTTTCCTAGATCAGATAACTCGGTTTTTATCCGAATATCATGGTTCATCATTACCTACACTAGTTGCTTCTTTTTTGAAAAAAAAAAAAACATACCATTAGAAACAAAATGAATGTTGTATGCACAATAAATGTTTGATAAAGATTGCACACTTAATTAAATCTTTATCTTTTTATACCGCTTTAAGAGCATTTTGTTGTCAATTTTTATCACTTGTTTATCTTTTAAATCTATTTTCAGATGGTTTAATCTGTGTTATCTCTTGCTCTACAAATTAAATGATTTAACTCGCAGTAAAAGTGGACTATCAGAATATAGTTATGATATGAAAGACATTTTTTTTTCAAATGCAGAGCAGATAGTTTTGTGGAATTCCTAAAATTTGATAGTTAGTGGATATTTGCAAATGATAAAGAAGTAAATAATAAAGCATCAAGCTACAATGAAAGATGTTGAAATGCATCGAAAATTTCTTCCTCAAAGGATTTTGTCTTTCTACATATTATTGTACATGTAGGCCATAATGTTTTATGGACAAACGCGCCCTGAGATGTTCTTGAAGTGTTGTTGCATGACGAATTTGGATTAACTAATCATTCAGATGGTTCAAAGCGAATAAAACACAAATAAAAAGTACCCGATTTTGATCCAATAAATGTCAAAATGCATGGGCGAGCAAACTAGACAAATGCTTATTTTACTTACTAACTAGTCATAATAAATGCCGAAAACTGCTAAAGGATTAATGAACATTTCCAAAATGTTTGTTTACATATCAAAACCAGAAGATGTTTGTAATAAACATTAAAAAAGGGGGAAAAAACCCTGAAAAGCACATTAGGCATAAAACATCAGATACATGTAACTTTAAAAGATTGTAAAATTGAGAAAAAAAAAACCAATCTTTGAACGAGGATAAAGTTCTTACAATAATTTTAAGCTTATAATTATCTTCTGACTTAGAGGATATATTTCTTTTTTGGACAATCTAAAAACTGTTAGTTTGTAATGATATCTGACAGTTTGTGTTAATGAAATTGCTATATTCTCGAAACTTGTTTACCATAATATACAACAATGATTGAATTATGTCATTTTTTTGCTTAGTTAAATAGTTTAGAAATGTTTGTTTGACAAGGTATGAGCTTACATACACACTCTAGAACCAACCAGTACTGAGCAATGAGAGTAAGAATTCTTGCTTTAGGATCCTAATGGGATCTGAACCAACTTGGCTACAGATCATTAGTTTACTTGTCCCACGCGTCAACCTCTCGGTCATGCCACCATTTTGTACTTTACAATCGAAGAAAATATGTTTTGAATTAGTATAAAAAGAGCACGGATTTGAAATCTAAACATTGAATGCAAAAGACATTTGGTTTGGCCAATCATTAACGTTTTATCGACGGAGTAAAGTTTCTTATATCATCAAACCTAAACAGCACATAATGACTGTTATTTAAAACCTGTCTCGATGAAGACGTTTAATCTCCAATAGAAAGAAAATCAATGTTGCAGAGAAGTTTGAAAGACACATTATTAGCTAGTTGTAACACCTGACATTCATTTTTAGAATTTTTTGAGCAATATCAATAATATAATCATGTTTTCCCAGCCACTTTCATAAGCATGACCTATAATTACGCGTTTTCTGTTCGATGCAACGTGCACATTAGTGATTGGATTTCTGAACGATTTGATTTATTTGATATCCAAATCTTAAATCAAATCTAAAAGAGAAGTATCTTTCCGAGATTTTGAATGCTGATCGAAGTATTTTGCATCAGCAAAATAAGTGTATGGTCCGAGGAATATGTACCATCTACCTTGTAAACACTTTGTTTAAGCCTCAACATGCAAGGACAAAATGGCGTAAGCTTTTGACCAAGCCAGCTTGTAATAACTTGCAGTTTGACCGGACTCTAAATTAATCACTAATATTATGTTGCCATCTTGATGTTACCGAAATTGAAAATGACATAGATTTAGTTAATGATGTAATATTCTTATTTTGTACTTTTACTTAACTTTTAATGACATTTAAAACGAAGATATTGTATATCTGTCCCATTATCAATCCGACAGACATTATCCATTAGTGAAAGTGTTACATTGTGAGCCTTTTTAGTATATTACTCGCAAAATGATCAATTGCAACTCATTTGAAAGATAATATTAAATAGCTTTTGCACATTTTTAATTTTTTAATCGATTGATCGCAAAAACTAATTGAAAATTTATATCACCTAACAATAAAACACGAACCAATTTTCTTCGTGAAAACACTTTAAATGTATGGATAAAGCTTGACATTATCAATTTGTTCAGTTTGATATCACATAGAAACTGTATAATAATATGTTAAATATTTTAATATATTTTCAGTCAGATAAAATATTTGCGCGTATTGAACAAATGTTGATAGAATCTTCTTTTATCATTTCAAAATATTAGCACGAAAAAGCGTATGTGAATGCTTTTGTTTTTCATATAATTTTCTATAGCTTTAATAATGGATAAAAAAATAGTTTTACATTAATTTAGTAGTTTCTGAAATTAGTTTTAGCGACGAACTTTCGATTCTAGTGTTATGTAAAAGGAAAGTTAATAATGAACTACTGTTTAGATAAGCAATATTGTATTTCTAATTTAATGAATATTTTATGATATAATGCTCCAATGTCATTCTTTCTGTGTCAGTATGATTAATTAATGTGTTGATATTTGTGTACTAATGTTGCGTTGTTGCTGTCAATAGTTTTGCTGATAAATCAGTTTGGCTGACCATGATAAATGATATATTTACATGTAACGGCTGTAGTATATTATGAGATAAAGATGAACTTATGGTCATGAAACAATGTCAAATAGAGACAAAAATATTATGAATGACTCATGAGATGGTTGTAGTTCCATGTGGAATACAATGAATACAACTGTCTTAAAAATAAGAAATTATTTTAAGATTTTTTGTACTCATACATTTACTGCTGTTAAAGAAGGTCATTAAAAAGAGACTCCATTTAGCTTTTTAATTGACCGATCCGAATATATTTTTGTCTCTTTTTTGTATATTATTTGATGTGGGTCTGGCTTAAAACATGTAACTTGCTTGCAAAATTTCAGATCATTCAATTTGACTCAATTCGTTCTTTTCTTTAATAATAATTTCTTTAAGCGAAAAAATGTGAAAATCAGGGTATTAACTATGTTAAATTGATGTGATACTGCATTTGTATGAGTTTTTTTTTCTCCAGCTTCTCTAATGACAACACAACATTTTGGGACATATTATTGTTAGCGCAATCTGTGCATTGATTAATACAGAACATTTCAATCCTTCAACATTCTATACGACAAGATAACACCAATAAAAGTGTACAGACGACTGTTTCAGTGTTCAAATGTGTTTTGTTAACACCTGTTTATGCCATAATGCAGATAAATGCTGACACTAACAATTTGTTTGGAGATGATATTACATTGATATTTGTTTAAATGTTCCTAAAACCCATTTAGTTAGGTCTGATATGTTTGTTTAACAAGCTGTGAAATAGACCTTTTTAATAGTATAGACTGATAAAACCCTAGGAACTAAAATATTTGCAAGTTTAATAGGATATTATATTTCTGGATTAAACACATTTTTTTTAAAAATTTTGCCGATGTTTTTTTTTCCGTTCAAAAATGTTTGCAAACTTTTTGGTTCTTTTACATACATATATATGTTTACATTAAATTGAATTACAGTTCATTGCGTCTATTTAATTCCTTTCATATAATTACAAGGTAATAAATAACTGCTACGATTGATGTAATTTGTAAAAATTATAATCACGGGGTAACTTTTTACAGCTGTAAGAAGAGTTATCCCTCGGAAGCATTAATAACCGTTACAATAAAATTACATGAAAACTACAGACTCGGTTGGATTAAGTCTGTACATGAGGAATAATGAAAAAGTGCAACATTCCTCACGCCCCCTAGCACCGACTAGATCGTTACTTAGTCTCCAACACCTTTTCAACACTGTTTCCGAGCAATTTTGAATTGAATTTTGATACAAAAGCGTTAACGTGTATATCTAATAATTTAGTACTTGTTGACAACAAAAGCAAAATTTTAAATATCGGTTTACACTATTGTATAAATAAGATTTGACAATTCCAATTTGTTATAATAGGTACTAAATTATTAGATATACACGTTAAATTGATACTATTTTGAATGTTCAGCAAATATGTCCATTAAGATAAAACGAGATCATGTTTGCTAACAGAGCGCAATTATGTTCAAACACAGAACTAAAACTGAACATACGGTAAAATGATATGCATTTATAACTAAGAGATTTCAAAATGAAATATTTATCGCTTCCTAGCTACTTGTAATCGTAATAATATATAAAAAATGATTGATTTAATACATTGAACATGTACAATAGTCAGCATTATATGTGCAAGAAACATTAAAACTAAAGATATTTTGGCTCGGTAAGGCACATACATA